TAGAAAGTAGAGGGGGAGAAGTCAAGTACCTTTTAAGCTGCTGCAGAGCTTCTTCGTAGGCTAGGGTCCATTTAAACTGCTTTTACTTTCAAAGGGCCCCGAAGATGTGGTGATACGTGTCTGCCGACTGAGAGATGAATCAGCTTAGGGCAACCACTCTTCCAGAGAGACGCTGGATGTCTTTGATGCATATGGGTGAGGAAATGTTCAAGACGGTTCGAATCTGATCAAGGTTAGCCTCTATCTCACGCTGAGTCACCATGTATCCCAAGAAATTACCGGAGGAGACCTCGAATGAACATTTGGCTGGGTTCAACTTCATATTATACTTCCTCAGAACTGCGAAGGCTTGACTGAGGTGGTCTAAATGCTGCTTGGCTATTAGGGACTTGATGAGCATGTCGTCGATGTACACTTTCATAGTGTCCCCCAAGTGTTCTGCAAACATCTTGTTGACGAGCCATTGATAGGTGGCCCTAACATTCTTGAGTCCAAATGGCATCACTTTGTAACAATAGGTATCTCTTTCTGTGATGAAAGCAATCTTTTCTTGGTCATCCAGATGCATGAGTATTTCATTATAGCCAAAAAAGACATCTATGAAGTTGAGCAACTCATGACTGACTGTAGTATCGACCAACATGTCGATGTGTGGGAAAAAGAAGGAGTCATTGGGGCATACTTTGTTTAGGTCTATGGAATCTATACAGACTTGTCATTTTCCATTCTTTTTTTGAACCACCACCACATTAGCGTGCTAGTCGGGGTAGTGAACCTCCCGAACGAGCCCATTACTTAGTATTGTCTCTACTTCTTCATTGATGACTCAGTTTTGCTCTGGAGCGAACTTTCTTCTCTTATGTCTGAGTCGGTGGTAGTCAGGGTCAACCTGGAGATGGTGCATGATTGTGTCAAGGCTGATCCCTGTTATATTTGCATGAGACCATGCGAAGTAGTCTTGATTTTGCTTTAGGAAGTTGGTCAATTGCTCTCTGATTTCAGAACTCAGTCGAGATGCAATCTGAGTCTTCTGATCAGAATGGTCTAGGTGAATCTGTTCCTCATCCAATTCTTCCATTGATGGTTGATCCAGCTCGACTGGATGAGTCAGGTCTATCTGTAGTTGCTATAAAGTGTGGGACTTGCCTTTGAAGGCATTCTTGTAGTAGTCCCTTGAGGCCTTAGTGTCGCCCTTGATTTCTTTCACTCCCCATCTAGTAGGAAACCTGATTGTCTAATGGAAGGTCATAGGGACGACTCCCATGTCATAGATCCAGGGTCAACCCAACATGACATTGTATGGTAAGGACAATCTAGCACAAGGAAGGTGGTATGTCGGTTCACCCTGTTGGTGTAGACAAGAAGAGTTATCTCCCTGATTGTGTATTTGTGTTCAAAGTTGAAGCCGACTAGAATGGTGGGGTGTGATAATCCTATTTTTCCCTATGATTTTGCATTGAATTTCAATAGGATTTAAGATACTTCTCATACAATTTGGGTCATAATTGCTACTTAATGCTGTTAATTTTTCTTTGCAGGCCTAAACAATGATTTTGAGTATAAATGATGGTTTTGAGCGTAAATTGCGTAACTTGAGCTTGGAAACTCAGAATGATCTTAATTTAAAAGCTATGAAAAGCTAAGAAGCAGAGGTACAACTTCTATTTTTTGGGTTTTTTCTAATTCTGACTGGAAGAGGGTGAAAACATGGCTTGAAGTCGTGAATAACATGTTGGGAACTGAAGAAAAAATGTCTTTGGACGTACTTCAGTATTTTGGCCATAACTTGAGCTGTAGACCTCTGATTGGGCTGATTATTGAACTACAGAAATATAATTTCAAGGGCTATAATTCATATGTTTATCAATTTGCCAGATTCATATTTTATCATGCTCAAATATGGCCCAAAAGATCCTAGTTGCAGCAAAGAAAAAGTTTCACCACGGCAAAATTGCGTCAAATGTGAAAAAATAAAACGACGTGTTTTGGCTTGCTAGGGCTTCATCCATAAGTGAAAGAGGTGTAAATTGGCATGAAAAAGAAGGGAAAAGGGTCTTGGTTCGTCATTTGGGAGGCAACTCTTGGAAGGAGAAGATTATTGATGATTTGGGCTTCAAATTAGAGAAGATTTCTCCATCTTTTGCTTGTTTTTTCAATGATGAACCTTGATTCGGTTTGTTTTCGTTATTTCATTTTGTTTTTGAATACGAACTAAGTTGTTTAGCTAGGGTTTGATGTAACCTTGATACAATGATTCAAATTTATATGAATTGATTTACTTTGAGTTTTAATTTCATGATTAAGAGATTATCTCTTTGCTTGATGACTTTTGGATGTTTGATCACCATTCAAATGTATGTTGTTCACAATAAGACTGAGAAGTGATTTGTGATATGTGCCTCTTGGGATACATACTATAGATTGAGCGAAAACTAGAGATAGATAAACGCGATCTATGAAATCTAGATAGAATTCCACAAAGCTTAAGAGAACTTTGTTAGGAAACGGTCCATGTACGCAACAGAAAAACAAAAATCATAACACAAGGATCGTTCCCAAAGAGCCAAGATCAAAGGTATAATTTTACAGTTTATGTTTAATTAGAAATCTACAGAAAAATTAAACATGAGTTTAGAAAACATACGCACGTTCGGAGGCTCCTCCAAATTTGTCTTTGAACGTTTTTGCTACCGACCCAAGTGTAGAATCGAACCCACGTAGTCCACACGAAAACAATCACAAAGAACTAAGGAGAGATTTGCTAGATCCTCCTTAGCTTTAAGATTAAAGAAGAAAAATCAAATGAATTGATTTTGGGCAAAATGAAATACTGCCGTGGGAGAGAGTTTAGGGCTGTGTGTATTTCTCTTTTACAATGAAAATGAACTAATGAAAAAATCACATTTCTTTCAATTAACACTTTTCTTTTCTAGTGTTATTTTAATGCCCTATTCCCATATGGAATAGGCTTGGGCTCCAACCCAAACACCCCATGTTACCAAACACTCCCAATTAGATATTTATTTTTATTTCATCATTATCTCAATTAAAATCAATTAATATATATTTAATCTATATTAACATTTAACAATAATAATAATATATTTAAATATGTGCGAACACATATTTAAACGTAATTTCACTTATTTAATTTTTCTAATAAATTAAATAAAGGCTACAACCTCAGCAAATTTAATTGCACTGTGAAATTACCAAAATACCATTTCGCCTAAAAAGACGAAAACGCCCTTCTTTCTTCTTGAGTCTTAAATTATCTTCTATGTGTGTGACCTATTGGCTCCTAATCATACCGGTAATGTATAGTATCGCAATTAACACCACTTAATCGTCTCACTAATACACAGACAAAGATTAGCCCCTAGCAAGGCATCATGGCCACCCGATAGATTCGGATTCAGCAAAGTAGTTACCTGTCAATGATATGGTTACCGTACAATTTGATCCTTTCATCATCCGTTATCTCGACGAGACGAAGGCATAGAAATAGTGTCAACCTTCGGTTACTCTCGATATTATGTATTCAGTTTCTGGACCAATGACTTGTATTATAATCTGGATAGAGCAACAACTCAATCCCACTGTGACCACAGTTTTAGTGTCATTGCCATATACTGAATTGCGCCGTGAGATAACTTCTCCCATTCCCGGGAGTGATGAATCCTCTGTTAATCCACCATAGTCTTGATACACTCCTTGATGCAGCCAATCGCCACTGTATTGACAGCTCTGAAAAGAACTACATTAGGCTAGTGTCAAACTACACCAATCGGTGCACAAGGCGCTCCAGTGATCTCAAGTCTATGGATCACATGCACCACCATTCATTAGAGGATTTGTTCCATAGACACTAGGGTTACCATCCATATGGAATCCTCTTGTGGGTCTGTCTAATGAACTTGCTGCAGTGTATTCGCCTACAGCAAGCATCCATGTGTTGCACTAGGTTGTCACCAAACAATCTTGACAAGTGAGATCAGTCACTGCCTTTCGACAGGATCGTTCAACACTATGATAGCCTTACTGTATTATCTGTGCCCTTACTTCAGAATAATACTGGGGCTATAGACGTTTCTAGAATGGCCACCATATGTGCTCATAAGGTTCTCACTATCAAGATTTGAAACACTTGATACCCTCGTCACGGTTCTACCATTCTAAGGACATATATCAATACATATTGCAATAATAATGATTTACGTGATATATAATAAAATTCCTTTTATTGATTAATGAACATTATTACAAATAGTCAATTCTACAATAATTGATTGGCTCTAGGGCATCTACTCTAACAACCTTAAAATATTAAACTTCAATTTTTGGGTTCGGAAGGTTAATAGGAATAGGTGGGGTGGTATAACCTGAGAAGGAGTACCAAACAACTTAGGGAATTTGATTTTCAATCAAGGAATTAGAACTTGGGTAATAGATTCTATGATTTGGGTTAGCGTATCTAGGGAAATCAATACCTCGCATTTTTTAGTATTGTTTAATTAGTTAAGTTGTTGGGTTTTGCTTTAATTTCATTATCATTCATTTATATTTTGTTAATTTATATTTAGTTTGTTAATTTTCCATCAATCCAATTTATTGTTGCTTCAATTAGGACTTAAACTAGAGAAATCGGTACTTAGTAACACTATCCTCTTGGGAACGATACTCTACTTATCATTTTATTACTTTTTACGACTTGTACACTTGCTAAATATGCATATGAAATAATAACAAGTATCAAGTTTTTGGCACCGTTACCGGGGATAGTTGATTATTAATATTGATAGTATCTAGTGTAGAGCTAAATTGAAGCTTTTATTTCATTTTTGTAGTTAATCATAAATATTGTATAGTCTTAAGCTTGAGTTCTTTTGTTTGTAGTTTTTATTTTTATTTTGTAGTTAAGTTTAATTTTTGTAAATACTTAATTTTAAACTTTTTCTTGTAGTGCATGTGGAAATCATGGCAGAAGTACATAGACGTTGATGGATTATGCCATACCAACAGTGGAAGAATGCAATTATGGTATTACAAGGTCAACTGTTGCAGTGAACTTTGAGATTAAGCCGACAATAATTCAGATTATCCAACAATTAGTCCAATTCAATGGAAATTCATATGAGGATCCAATTTTGCATATCGCTAGCTTTCTGGAGATATGTGACACATTCAAGGCAAATGGAATGACTGATGATGCAATTAGGCTGACATTGTTCCCATTTTCACTGAGAGATAAGGCGAAAGGTTGGCTCATGTCAACACCTAGCTGGAATAATCACCACATGGGATGGATTATCTCAAAAGTTTCTTGCAAAACACTTTCCACCAAAGAAGGCAGCAAAAATGAGAAATGACATTACCTCTTTCGTGCAAGGCAACGATGAATCACTATATGATGCTTCGGAGAGGTACACAGAGTTTTTAAGGAAATGTCCACATCATGGTCTACCGTTTTGGATACAAGTCCAAACATTTTACAATGGGTTCTTACCAAATATTCAAACTATGTAGATGTGGCAGCAAGCGGAGCCTTAAATAACAATACCCCAAAAGATGCTTATGAATTGCTTGAGGTGATGGCCAATAATAACTACCGAAGACCTGATGAGAGAGCAATGCCGAAGAGAATATTGGGTCTACATGAAGTCGATGTGTTCACTGCATTATCTGCACAAATTGCATCACTTTAAAGCCAATTGGGACGTATGAATGTAAATTGCATTCACTCACCTTTTATAACTTGTGAATTTTGTGCAGGAAACCATGGGAGTGTGGAATGCCAAGAAGGAAACCCATTAGTCTTCTCAACAACCGAGCAAGTGAATTACATGGTCAGTTCACAAAGGCTGTAAAATGACCCCTTCTCCAACACCTACAATCCTAGTTGGGGGAATCACCCAAATTTGTCCTGGAGCAATCAAAGCAATCAATTAAATCAAAGGACAATGCCAAACCATCAACCAGTGGTGAATCTTCAACTGGTAGAGCAAAGAGTGTCAAAATTGGAGGATATGTTTGGGAAGTTCATGCAAGAAACCACAAGTTTTATGAATGAGACGCGCTCAAACTTCAGAAATCAAGGAGTGTCCATTCAAAATTTGGAGGTTCAAATGGGGCAATTGGCTTAACAATTGACAGAGAGATCTCAAGGTTCTTTGCTGAGCACAGATATCACAAATCCTAAAAAAAAAAAATTAAATGTCATAACATTGAGGAGAGGTATAGTGTTGGAGCAACCTCGCAATGAAGAAAAGTTGGAAGAACATGAAGACAAGAGTAATAATAGGAAAATCTCAAAGCAAAAAGGTGTGCAAGATACTTAGGGGAATTTCAACCAAGTAACTCGCCTCACAGGGAACAATTTAAGGAATTTGGTATAAAAGCGCACAAGTTAACATTGGTGTTGAAAGAGACTCCAAACATTGGACTCAACCAATCACCATCTCATCTCAATTACGCATATATGAATTTGAAGTTCTAAAAGATGCTTATGAGAATGCCCGAAATTAGAAAGGAAAGACCAAGAGGTGGCAATGGGAAGTGAAGCACCCCACAGGGATCCGGATTGACGAAGGACCATGGGAAAGTAGAGCTTTCGACTTTAAATAAAACGCTTCTTGGGAGGCAACCCAAGTGTTTTTAGTTTATTTTGTTATTGTTGAAGTTTATTTTCAATTTTAAAACTTTGGTTTTAGTTGATGAGATTTGATATTTCCTTATTAATCTATAATGTGTTTTAACAAATTGATGCACCATGAGTTTTCATGCCTTGATAGATTCGTATGATGATAAAGACGATGAAGATAATGAATGGATGCTGGGCATTGACATAGAGGACACACTTCACAGATTAATTGGGGGAGTATTTCTTAACCCTTCTCTTTTCTCTATTCTTGTTCTTTATTGTGTGACATTGAGGAACAATGTCATTTTAAGTTTAGGGGTAGGCAAAATTTTGAAATTTTTCTTGTTTGTTTAATTTGGTGTGTTTATTTTTGCTTTTCTTGTGTGAGTGATTTGGTTTGAAGTATTGTTGTTCAAGTGTGTGGTTTGTTGTGTGTTTTGGTGTGGTTATTTTACTCATGTTTGTGTGTTTAATGCTTTTTGGTTGTGTTTGTTTTTAGTTTTTGTGCGTTGTTGAAAATAATGCCCAGATGATTCATATAAGTCCATGATGAGAATTTGATTGTTGGGAATTTTATTTTTGGAAAAGTATGAGGTATTTCTTTAAGTTGAAGTTGGGTTGACTTTGTTTTAGCCAGAAGTTCCTTGGGTAGTTCAACGAAGATTTTCATTATTTTAACATGCTTAGAGGCATTTTATGTGAATGTTGATGAATTCTAGATACTGGTTGAGAATTGCTTGAGGTGAAATCCTAGATTGGACATTGCTGAGGAAATGACTTAGGCATTTATTTTTTTTGGAATGTTTGAGCCTTTCTAGCCAACCCTGTTTTGAATTGTCTTTAGTCACCCTTTTGAGCCTTTTAATTATATTGCCTTATTTTTCTTGCGTAACCAACAATGTCAAACCCCTTCAACCTAAACACTTTATCATACCCTTTAAGAGAACTCCGTACCATATGCATATCAATAGAGTAACGAAGGTGTGTGAATAAGTGATTGATCGGAAAATCATAAGTTTGGGGGTTGTGAAGAGGCAGCAAAAGGCAAGTGACCCCAAGTGAATTATCAATTTTTGTAGATACTTTGAGTTGAAAAAAAAAAAATTGTGAAAGAAAAAGAGAAATAAAATCATTTCAATTCATAATAAAAAATAACAAATTTATAAGTTTGGGGGTTGTGAAAGGTGTGCCATTGTTTAGAGGTTGAGCAATAAAAGAAGGTCATGACTTGAAGTAGCTCTTTGTGTTTGCATGAGGAAAATTGAGTTCTCTTACTTTGTTTTTCCTATCCTTTCTTTGGAACCTATTACCCAAGCCTAACGTTACAAGCTTACAAAGACCTTTTGATCCTTAGCAAAGTCGAGTCCACATTAGTGGAGAGTAATTCAAAAATTAGGCTTATGGAGTTTGTTAATTATCTAAGAGATTTTGCTTCTTTGCATAATATAATCCAAGAAGTGAATGGTGGATTGAATTGGGGATTACTTACTTGAGTAGCTAATAGAGGAACAAAGTTAATTTGCAAATTTGACTTTTCAGAATATTGAATAGTTTTGCTTGAATAATGTTGCCAACAATTTTTTAGACTTGCATTATGAATCAATCTGGGTACGTATTTTTCTTTTTGTTTTGATTTTTATTCTTTTTTGCTCGAGGACAAGCAAATCTTAAGTTTGGGGGTAGTAGGGCACCTGCTAATGGCCGACTCATCTAGGCCCATTGTTTTGATAGCTTTTAAGAAAAGGATGTTGGCTGAGGAGCCTCCATCCACGAATATCCTCTTGACTAGGATATTTGCTATCTGTATAGTGATCACTAAAGCATCATGGTGCAGTGCAGTTAGGGTGTCTGGCTCATCATCTTCGAACTGTATGACCTGTTGAGTGGGCTTCTAATTGGGTGGATGGGAAGAGTGAGCTTTGGGGTGATGGCTTGCTTGGACATGCCTTTTTTCCAAGGAGTAACTTACTCTACTAATTTCTTAGCCACATAATATCATGTAGAAACCTTCTGGCTTTGGATCTGAGGGAGGGGAGGACCGGTTTTTCTCATCTCTGTTTTTCATGGTGTTTTGGCCGTTATCTGTCAGTAGGTCTTGAAGGTGTCCTCTCTTGAGTAAAGCCATTACCTCTAATCTTAGAGCGATGTAGTCTGCTATAGCGTACCCATGGTCATGATGGAACTCACACCACTTGGTCATGTCCCTTTTAACATTGGGTCTAAGCTTAGGTGGCCATTTGACTGTCGGACCCATCCCCTTCATTATTAAAACCATTTGGGTCGGCTCAACGTTTAGATTATACTCAAGGACCACGAATATAGAAAAACTGGAGGGTCTGTATGTAGGTCAAATTGGAGAGCGGTCAACAGTCTTCGACTGCTTTTGTTGGGACTACGTGATCGATGTAAGTGCTCCGTTTCATATTGTCGAGCCTTTGGGCGTCTGTCGCTTCGACTCTGTCGGCGATCATCGTAGGGTGTGTACCTTCTATAGTTTGCCTCATCTTCCTTCCACCTTATCTGAATGATTGCTCGGGCTAAGGCATCCTCCATGGTATTGCAACCCAGTTTGGTGAGGTCTTTGTAAAGTTTCCCAACGAGGAGGAGCCTTTTCCTGAAAGCATCCACTACTATCTTAGGATTGCAGGATGGGTTTGAAATCTTCTCCTTATTGAACCGGCTGACATATTCTCGCAACGACTTTCTCTCTTCTGATAAACCTTGTATAAATTGGTTGATAACTTCTCAAGTTTCTTGTTGCTCGCAAACTGCTCAACGAATATGTTGGTGAGTTAGGCGAATGAGCCTATGAAGTTGTTGGAGAGGTTCGTATACCATTGAAGAGCCAGTCTTGAGAGGTTGGAGCCAAAGCTCTTGCACATGCATGCTTCCCTGAGATCTCGTGGTATGGAGACAACAAACATCCTCTATTTATACAAGACAATGTGATCATCTAGGTCAGTTGTACCATCATAGGGTTTCATGTTTAGGATGGAAAACTTTTGAAGCATCTCAGCTAAAGCTATGGAGTCAATGAAGGGTGAGTCAGCATAACTGTAAGGAAGGTTTTTCTTGGCTGGGGTGGGGACTCCAGGTATGTGCCTCATCATAGCTTCCATGTCGGCTAGTTTCTTCGCCAATATCTATTCAAGAGGGGTGATGGTAGATAGAAGGTCTGAATTGACTATTTGGGATGGGTATTTCTCTCACTCGGTTTGGTAGGGTGAGTCGAGTCATTGGTTGTGGCTTGGTGAAATGTTGTTTGGGGGTTAGGGGCTCTATTCATCCCTTCAAGATGAGTCATTTTGATCGTAACAGTTCGGGTACTTCTGTCGGCGTGGATGGTCAAAGGTATGACTTGGGGGCCCCTCGACCTATGAGGGTGAGCTGAGTTGAGTGGTGTTTGGTAGGGATGACTGTTCAACCCATGAGGAAGAGCCGAGTTGGAAGGGTCTTGGATGTAGTATGGGTCATTCATATTGATGGAATGGTCGGTATTGGTGATATTCTATTGTTGGTGGCTGCGGATGGCTTGAGTGAGCTAGTCACTGGTGATTGAGGGATCAGTTGATAGGGGTCGTGTTTGCATGGCTAGGTCTGCAACATCTGTAATGGCAAGTGCCAAACTATCTATTATGGATGACTAGGGTTGGGAAGACTGTGGGTCTGAGGACGAGGATCTAGGGTCTAGAGTCATGAGTGGTTGCATGGAATTTACCGGGACGCAAAAGCGATTCTCTAGTATCTAGTTAAATGGGAAATCAAGAGAGTGGAATTGAGTTACCTTTTCTTGTAAGCTTTGATTCTCGACCCGAATGCTGTTGTTTTCGACTTCTAGTGTTGTGACCTTGTCAGCCTGCTGTTGCATTAGTGCCAAGAGAGCCTCAACCTTAACTGCAAGGTCTATTGAGGTAGTGTCTGTGATTACAGCCATGACATGATTCTTCGTAGAGCAAGGGTTTGAACAAGAGTTGATTGCCAGAGGCCCCACGTTGGGCGCCAAACTGTAGATGCAAAAAATATAAGGTTATAGAAATATGGTCTGATCCCATGAGGTTAAAGCCA